TCTCTCTCTCTCTCTCTCTCTGTTCATCTCTCATCATGGAAGGATATTAAGTCTTGCCCCCATCATGTCCTGTCCCTGGCACAGGACTTTTCACTGCTCCATGGTTCGTGCTGGCATGGAAACCTCATTCAGCTGTGCCCTGAGGTCATGCCATTGAGCCCTGGGTGGCTGGTGGGATTGTCACAGAGCTCTGATCATCCCCAAGCACTGCCATCACCTTGTTTCCATGGGCTGGAGTCACACGTACAAAAGGAAATGTTGAGACTTGAGAACATTGTTTGGCGTTCACAAACCTTTGCAGGCTGTTTTTGTGTGCCGTTTCCCATGTGTGTGTGAGTGTGCGAGCCGTGATGGCCGCTGGTACTCTTGCAAAGAATGTGTGCAAGACTCGACCCCACACCCTTGTTGCTCGATGCCCTTGTTAATAAAACCCTGTCTGCTAGGAAACCAAATTCTTTGTACTCCCCTTTGTGCCAGGAATAGTCCTCCTTTCCCAGTTACTATCTGAAGTAACTTTTAAAAGTAATAGGAAAAAAATGAGTAAAATATATTAGCTATCGTTCTGAGCCAGAACTGGACAGATGTGGGAAATTTCCAGAGTGTATGAAAATTTCAACTGTGCGGGAAAAGATTGTTTCCCTCTGTGCCTCTTCTTTTACTATAAAATTATTCAAAAATGTACTGTTACTATAAAATTATGCAAAATGTTACTATAAAATTATTTGAAATTTTACTATTACTGTAAAATTATTCAAACAATTGTTACTATAAAATGATTCAAAATATCATGATAATAAAATTGCATCAATTTGCAGACCAGTCAAGTGCTCTCCAATGTGATGTTGACTGGGTATTCCTTTGTGTGTTTGTGGACAAAGAAGATGGTGCTAGCTGGATTTGGTCTTCTGGTAAAGCCCTGGATTCTTAAAGGAACAGATGGTTGTCAACACGGTGAAGGGTCTGAGATTTTACCTAGTAGTTATGTGCCTTATAACCACATTTCGGTCAATGATGGACCATGTATGTGAAGATGGCCCCATAGGATTATAATGGAGCTGAAAAATTCCTACTGCCTACTGCCATCATAACCACCATAGTGTAACACGTTACACACATTTGGGGTGCTTTGGGGGTTTGTTTACGCCAGCACTGCCAGTCCTATGAAAGTATAGCACATACAGGTATGCCCAGCACATAGTACTTGATAATGAGAAATGACTGGCAATGGTTTATGTAGGATACTATTTATCTTGATTTTAGAATGTGCTCTTTCTACTTATACAAAAAAGTTTGCTATAAAACAGTATTCCGTGTTAACCGGCAACAGCCTTCTACATCTCGCGTTACTGTCTCTTGGTTTCATTTAATCTCATATTTTGTACTGTAACATGATAGCTTAGGACCAATAAGCTATGCCATAGCGCCTAGGTGTGTAGTAGGCTATACCTTCTTGGTTTGTGGAAGTGCACTCTATCATGTTCACACAATGACGAAATCACCTGATGGCACATTTCTCAGAATGTATCCTCGTCATTAAGTAGCACATGACTACTTACAAGCTAATAAGTTAGCATGCCATGGCTTCATGGATCCTGGCAGAAGTTATGAGACTCCTAGGTCAGAGACAAAAGACAATTTAGTACAGCAACAGTAGGAACATTTCACTTTTTTGACATTTGCACTAGTTCCCTGAGCCCTAATTCCTGTGGGGCCCCATGGAGAGGGCCAGGCGATAAATGCACGTGTAATGGGCTGTGTTACAAGAGGAAACCCAGGCTCAGGGAACCACAGTCTTTTATAATGGGCAGTAAGCCTGCCTGACCTCCAAATAGTCTTATCTCTACCATTCAAGACAGTTCACTACACCAACATCCTTGAAAAGATAGAATAGTATGGAACTAAGGCAGTCGGTGCCTAGCTCACAAGATGTGTATGAAGGTGAGAGACCCTTGGAGACTCATCTAAGAATCGGCACTTTCTTCAACTGGATCCTCAATATTGAAACTTAAGGTCGTGCTGCAGTGGTGGTCATTTTGTCTCCTTCCCTTTTGTGTATGCTGTTTTTTTCTGATGGTTATGACCAAAGAGGTGAGTGGCCATTCAGATTTGAGGCAAGCATGTGCAGGAAGGCAGGACTTGCAGAGTGAAGGGGCTGAGTGTGTGCTTAGCATCCTTGGGGAGGGGGAGGTCGTCCAGGTACCTGACTTTCCCTGCTCCATGGGCTTGTTGGAGGCTTCAGTTTAGTTCTGTGGCTGCCAGGTCTGCTGTGCCAAGGACACGGGAAAGCTGAGATGAGGGTGCTGACTGTAGTACTGTCTTACTTGGAAATAAGACATCTTGAGTGATGAGAGAGCAGGTACTTTGATTTTACAGACACTGGCTGCTGTTTCCCTATGACCCTGATGCCACAAGAGATGAAAATCGGGAGAAGATGGTCTGACCAAGGTGTGCTGGTAAACCAGCTTTGGGGGGGCAAAGGGAAATTCAGCTCCGATTTGGAGTGTTTGCTGGTTTCTATGATGTAAATACTCCCAATGGGTGATTTGTTTTGTCTTTCTAAATACATACACACCAGCAGGTCATGAGGACCATATTCTTTATAATCCCTCGTTTTATGGATAAGACAACAGACACAGAAGGTTGAATTGCCTCTCCAAACAGTAAGTACCCCGTGAACCAAGCCAAAGTTCCATCACCCCAAGGGAGCTGTTGGACAACTCTGGCTGCCCCGGAGTTGAGTTAATACACTGAGTTAATCTTCAGTGTATTCGTTCTTTAAGGCTACTTGGCCTGAACTCGTGTGAGGAGTGGCTTATCACTGTTGGTTCTGTATTGGTTTCCTATTGCTTCTGTAACAAATAACCAAATTTAATGGCTTAAAATAACACAAATTGATCATCCTAGGGTTCTAGCAGGTGGGCCTTCGAAGGCTAAAATCAAGGTGTTCCTTCTGGAGGCTCCTGGAGAGAATCCAGTCTTTCCCCCTTTCAGATGCTAGAGGCTGCCCACATTCCTGGGCTTGTGGTTCCAGCACTGACTTCCGTTGTCACCTCCTTTCTAACCCTCCTGCTTCTTTCATATAAGGACCCATGTGATTACAGTGAGCACTCCCATGAAATATAGGATAATGCCCTCGTCTCATGGCCCTTAGTCACATCCACAGTCTCTTTTATCTTGTAGGATAAGGTATTCACAGGTTCTTGGGATTACGACGTGGATATTTTGGGGAGAGGAGACACTATTCAGCCTACTAAAGTGTCCAACAAGCTTCTGGGGTGAAAATGAAGGAATATCCTGGGGATATTAGGTGCATTTTCTTCAAGCATTGCTAAAAGGGGGGTTTGCATTTCCCCTGGGTTGAAAACAGAAGTGCTTCATACATAAAAGTGATTTAGACCTTGGACTTCGGATGTAAAAAAAATCAGAGTAGGTCAGACTCTGGGAGAAAAAGAAGCCCAAGGTCTGATGCAGGACAAGGTCCCCGGGATGTGACAGCTCCAGGTGTGCGACACTTTCAGAAGCCCTGGTTATGTGGATGCCCTCAGGTGTGTAAGGCGGCTTAAGGCACTCCCACCACTTGGGCACACACGTCTCTCCAACTGATCCAAGTCCTTGAAGGCAGACAGTAGTGGGCCCTGCATTGCCCGTGGGTCTTGGTCCGAAGCAGGCCTGTGATGGGGGGGAAGTGAAGGAATGCATATGATTTGGAGACTTGGCAGGAAGGCAGACCCCACAACAGACAGAATGGGTCAGAAATTGCTATGTGGGAGCTATGTGTTTGGAAGCCACTCTCTCCTGTAGAAGAACAGATGTCAAAATGGGCTGCAGAGGTCATTGGGATAGTGCCAATGAACTTCATCTGCAGCCTGGTTTGTTTTCATGGAAAGCACCTTTGCAGATTTTGTAAAAACAAACAAAAAACCAAAAAAACCCCCACCAAAAATGTATTTACATAGGTAACATAATTTCACTGTAGGAGAAACTTGGCTAAAGTGTCAATTTCTTACCCATCCTTGGCTGATTTCTTATCCTATTGCTTTCCTAAGAATTGGGTTTGGTTTTCTTTGGCTTTTAAAAATGCCCAAGATGAATGAATGCCTGTTTCTGTTGGGATTTGTTTCCATTTTTCTGTCTCCCTGAATGTTGAGGCCTTGATTTGCATTACTCAATTGGCAAAGAAAGAAGCCGGAAGCATTCTTTTCTTACAGCCTCACAAGATAGGCTGCAACTAAACGCCCCCGTTTTATTAAAGCAGAAGAAATGTCCAAGGGCCCAGAGCGGGTGAGTAGGAGCGTCTTCAGGACTAGAGATGGGTCTTGATTGCTAACTAGCAGGGAGAAGGGGTGGGGTATATATGTGATCGCCATTCATGCCCAGTCAGGGAATAGCCCTGAGTCCACTTAGTGGTCACCGTCTGGCACATAGTAAGCCACAGGCAAGGATGGCTTTGGGGTCAAGAACTCAGACTCAAGTTCTAACTTAGGCTCCACCACTTAATTGCTCAACTCAATGACCTTAAGCAAATTTAGTTCCCTTATATTTAAACATGGGGATAACAAGGGATCTTACCTTAGGGGATTGTGGTAGGATTGATTGAATTAGTCCAAGTAAAGAGCTTAGAGCTTGTAATTGCTCAGTAAGTGGTAGGCTTTAAGTCTTAATTGATTTTTCCATTGGAATGACCAACACAATAAATTACAAATGTACTAAAAGTAAGTGGGAAAAAAAAACACAAAGCAATTTGAAAAGAGCACATATGTAATAGGAGAAACTATTGGGTTGTTGGAAAAGTCACGACGTATTTTTTCTGTTTTTCATTGCAAAAATGCCTGATGACTTTTCCGACAACCCAATATAAAGTAAAATATTGGTAGATTGGAATATATGAGTGAAAATTAGGTGCAAAAATATTATAATATTAAAAGGTAAACAATAAACTGGAAAAAGACTTCAATGTATTTGATAGTCAAAGAATTCATATCCTTTATGTATTAAAAAGTCTAACAAATCTATAAGAAAACACTGAATACATCAAGAGAAAATATATACATCAAGTAATTAAGTAAAAGGAAGTTGTTTTTCAATTATGAAAATTGCAAAAAAAATCATAACAAAATTTATAATATTCAGTGTTGGTTAGCATGTAAGTAACAGATATTGATGGAAGTATGTATTTAATTTTTTTGGAAGGCAATTTGAAAACATGTACCAAGTCTTTAAAATGTCCATGAAATGGTTCTTTAAAATGTTCACCTGATCATTCCACATCTAGAAATTTGTAAGACATATCCGAAATAATTCAACACAGCATTATTTTTAAAGTGTTAAATGACAACCCAAATTGCCAACAAAAAGAGTAATGCTTAAAATATCTAGTTCTCTAATGAGATACCGTCAAAGAATATTTAATGACCTTAAATCTCAGGCAAAAAGCTAAGGGGACAAAATGAGAACACAAAAACATTTCTGGTACAACCCCCAATTCGGAAAAATACATGTGTAGGTAGATCCATATCAAAAAGTAAGAAAATGAAAGTATGTAAGGGGAAAAAAATCATGTTAGTAATGATCTCGGCATGAGAATTCGCATTATTTTTATTCCCAATAGTTTTCTATATAATTATTTTACAAATTTTCTATAATTTCCTTAGGAGGAAAACACGTTATATTGGAGAGGTTAATTGATCGATTGAGTGACTCGTTAATGGATGGCGTTCGATGTCTCAGCCACTCCCCGGATTCGAGTCCACTCTCCGTAGCAGATGTTTCGGGACTTCTCAGGTCTTGGAGACAGGCATCTATAAAATGAGGGGTCATACACTCAATTACCTGGGTCTTCTTATTGTGAAAACACCCATACTTAAAGATTTCTCGATGGCACTGGGGGACCGGGTTGCTTTGGGGCCCGGAGCTCTCAAAGGACAAGGCTGCAGGCTCGGAACACCCTGGGAGCCCCTCGGACGCGCGCAGCCGCATTGCAGCGGTTCCTTCTCCAATGCCGGGTAGAGCTAGAGCCCACCCAATCCGGGTAAACTGGAACTGCGCCGCTCTTCATATCACCGCGGGAGTTTCTGATCCACGGGGGGAAAGGCCAGAGCTGCTGCCTTCAGTGCGCTTTTCCGTTATCCGGTAGTAACCTCCAGCCACAGCTCGCCCACCCACCCGAATTGCCACCTTTCCAGCTGTGTTTTCCTAAATGTACCCCCTATACAGAGACTCCTCGTATGCGTCATTAATAGGGCGCTTTGCGATGTACAAAACACGCCACACAACTCCGGGTTCCAAATACAGTTTAAAAGATGACATTCCGGGCACAGCAGCGTTACAATTCAAGATATTTAACCTTTGCACCTTAGTTAGTCTTTCCCAACAAGTGCCTGGAACATCAGACCCAGACATGGCAAAAAGTGCGCAGCGAGCCAGCCAGGAGTCGAACCTAGAATCTTCTGATCCGTAGTCAGACGCGTTATCCATTGCGCCACTGGCCCCGTGCTACCCAAGCTCTCTGCAATGTCGATTACACTTCACGCAGCTTCAACAGACTCCCCAACACAGACGCTGCATGTCTGCCGCGGCGCGGTTCCACAGCTCCACTGCTCCTCCGTTCCCCGGCAAGCACGCCCCGCCAATCCGCAGCGGCCACGTCACGGCGCTACGCCTCCCCACGTCGGCTGGCGTCTCCTGCGTGCTCTAGCGCGCGCACTAAGTTTGTCCCCGGCCGCCTCCCGTTCGCTCGCCGGGCTGGCGGGGCGTGGAGAGGGGTGGGACCAGGCTGGGCGCTGCGGCCTCCGTGCCAGGGTGACCGGTAGGGCCGTAGCCGAGGTGGCGGCGCGGGGCGGGGCAGGCGGACAGAGGAGGAAGGAGGCGGCGGTGCAGGATGGCGGCGACGACCTACGAGCGGCTGAAGCTGTGAGTTGCGCGGATCGGAGGCCTTGGACCGAAAGGGCCTAAGGGCGGCGGGCGGGGCGGCAGGTGCGGGCCGCTGGCCCCAGGGTGGGTTCCTGAGTCCCCGGGCCGTGGGGCCGGGTGTAGGAGCCGCTCTCCCCGCCGTCCTCTCCCGGCGTGGCCGCCCCAAAGCCCCGCCCGAGTCGCCACAGGCCAGGGAGCGACAGTCTCGCCAGCCTTTCTCCGTCCCCCTCGGCCTCAGCGCCCACGGCCGGAGAGCGAAGCTGCAGACTGGCTTCCAGCAAGTCGGGCGTTTTCATGCAGCGCTTCACGTTCCTCCCACTTTCTTTTTTGGAGAGGTGGCGTCTCAATCTGTCCTTATTGCTTAGAAGAGAGAGGTTTTTTTTTTTCTTACTTAATGGACCCATAGCAGCACGTTGGAGTCCACGCAGAAATCGACAAACCTTTCTTTCTCTGGGCCTCGAAGTCAGCCTGACCGGTCTTTAGAATGTTGGGGGGGGGGGGAGTAAAGTACAGTCAATACTCTTAAGGTTCTGAAAGATTCCTGGGCTTTACGTGTTATGCAGCCCAAGCGTAGAGCAGGTTCTTAAGTCCGGGTTGACAGCCAGAGGCCGATCTCGAGAATGTTGGCATTGCCGGCCGACTCCTCCGTCAAGCCACGTTCTTGAGGCTTTTGAGACGTAGGCCCTGGTTTGTCGGGAGTTGTAAATTCGGTATCGGTAAGGTTTTTGGCTTCTCCTAGATAAATAAAGACACGAATTTCCCTTAGGATTCCCATCTGGCTCCTACATCTTGTTTGTGGGTCACTTTTGTGCTGTTCACTTTGTATTTAATGCTTTACCCCTAGACTGAAAACCCAGTGGCCGTAGCCTGCGAGTGTCAGCAGATGCAAGTGTCGTCTCTGAGGAGCTTGTCCATCCCTAAATAAATTAAAATATCTTAGTTCTCAGGCATATCCTTTGCAGGGATATGAAGACATCAAAATGTGGTTTGGGCACTTCCTGTGCTGCCCACCAGAACCTCAAGCTCACTTGACTTTTCTGGAAGTTTCGATGTAAAGTTAGGGATGCAGACTTGAGAGTGAAGCCATCGACTCGACATCAGCTATTTTGTAGAAAAGATGAAGATGGTTTTTTCCTCGACCCTCTCCCTTTACTGAAAGCCCCAGCCGCATACTTCCCTCCAGATTTTCCTGGCCAAGTTTACGTTTTCTCTCCCAGTTCCCCTTTGCAAGGTGATCACCTTATTGGTGAATGAGGCCAGCAAAGTGTCTTTGACCAGGGTACTGGCTGGGCCAGTGTCACGTGTACTCTGCTGGCTAATTAGGTTATTGCTGTTTATCTGATAGCTACTAAAGGCTTTAACGTGATCCTACACTTGGTCTCAAATGTGTTTGAGCAATACGGAGCCTTGGCTTGATGCAGCTGGGCGTTAGGTTACTGAATGCACCTGAATTTTCCTGTAGTAAAGATTGAATGGGATGGAGAACTTGAGAATGATGATGGTTGTTTATGAGCTGCCTAGGAGGCACTAAATCCACCAGTCCAGACCTAACAAAACAAAAGCACTACATCCTTAAGAGAAAGGAAATTTGGTCTTTTAAGTGCTTTTAAGATGCTTTTGTATTGATTTTTGTGAGGAGTTGGAAACTATAAATTTGGGCGAAGACTAAGCCTGGGGTTATGTGAAAGTCATTCTCTAATAATTTGTCAGTCCTTAACTTTTTTCCCTGGAAAACAAGTTTTGAGTGCTTCTGTAAATGTGAAGATACAACTTTTTTTGCAATTTTGTTTCCTTTACCAGGGAATTTGTGAGTTGGAATCTGCTTTTATTCCTTCTTTTTGCCCTTTCTGCTGTGAAGCACGCTGTTCAAGGCTTTTAAATATGGCCTCGGACCTAAGGAGTATTCTTTTTTAGATGCAGTTGGAGGTGGAAGTGGTTTCTGATCCACATAAGAATTAGTAGGACATAATAGCCATTTTTTAAAACATGCCTCCAGGTATGTTTTAAGAAAGATCCATACAAGAGACAGTTTGATAATATTTTATTACAAAACTATTACTACTGGATTTAATTAAATACTGAAGTGCTTGGGATTTTAAATAATAATTTGTTCTACATTATGCCATACATTATTTACTCCAGTGCATCTCTTTCCTGCTATGAAGTTGACCTTTCTAATTGCCCTGGTTTCATCCTCTGCTCCCCTTCTTACAATCTCCAATTCCATTTCATGGATCTGTAGGATTAAATCCACATTTCTCAGCCATCTGTATTTTAGCCTCTTCACAATCTGTCCCCTGACTTTATTCCCCATGACTGCCCAATGCTTTCTTTCCCCCCTTTCCGCCAGCCTTGGCGACTCTCTCAACTTCAAGCTTGGGCGTATTTTGATCCTTCTATTTAGAATGCCTTCTTCCTCTCTCCCCTCTTTACCTGCTGATCACATCCATGGTAGGGCTGAGAGATCGCAGGCTTTTTTAGTCAGAACACAGTTAGATTCAAATCCTGACCTCGCTACTTGCTTTGTGTGCTGGCCACGTTACTTAATCTCTCTGAATCAGATTTTTGTCTGTAAAATGAGAACATTACTGTTTCACTATTATAAGGATTGAAAGAGAGTGGCGATGAAATACTCAGCATACTTAACAGAGACTCACTTTCTCTTAGAGCCTTTTTCCCACATCTTTCCCTTCACTGAGCTGACAGACCAGACTACTGTCACAGAGCCTACACACCGAACGTCCATATGGTTTGCACATTCTTTCTCTTAGGGTTGATTAACAGTATATTTACTGTCTCACGGACAAGAGGACTGAGAGAAGGATGGACCCAGTAAGCACAGCTTGAACCACTCACTTGGCCACCTAGAAATGATGAAATCATTATATACTCGTATACTTTGTTTCTCCAATTAGGTTGCAAATATGTGGAACATATTAGAAACACCTTAATGTTGATTTCTTCTCTAGGCCTCCTGAGTATAAACCTTGTGCAGAGCAGATCCTCAGTGAGTCAAGTCACCTGAGTAAATGAAAGGAACTTACCAATGTAGAACAGCTACCAGCACTTCAAAAATTGAACACAGTCTGGAGTAATTTGGAATGTATTCTTTTGAAGTAGCAGCAGCTTAAGTCGTTTCTTGTATATTAGTGTATTCCCAGTGCCTCTGAGATCACTGGTTGATATATATCTTACATTGTTGCTGAAGACAGGGAAATAATTGCCCTTTGGCCCCACAGTCAGGTCACACAGCCCAGCCATGGCAGAACCCGCCTTGGAACACAGCAGGCCCAGAGTTCAGTGATCTTTCCATTACACTGCGTTATTCAAATTACCTTTTTTTTTTTTTCCCCTCTTATCAGATTGCGCTCAACTTAGTCCTCAGACGTGCCCGGTATAGAATGAGTCACTTATAATTGAAAATAATTGACATGTCCATATGGACTTTCAATATAGAAAACAATATTGATTTGTTCAGAATTTAAAATTCATACTTTTACAACAACCAGGTAGTTCTACCCTATTTTGCAACTCCTGTTTTCTTTTTAAATACTTTGTGTAAGCATGGATACTGTTAGACAATGATAACATTTGAAATGAACAAGATAATTACAATAGAAATCAACAATTGGTAACATTTAAAGCATGTTTTTTGGTTTTTTTTCCTTTTAAAAAGTCAGCTGAAATAGGTATAAGGCAGGAAATTCTTTAGAAAGTGAATCAGGCTGCAGTTTGCCTTTGAAGAGACATTGTTTCCTAAGTTAGGAAGTTGCCTTTCTTCTTAAAAGGTTGTCATAGCTGTGAGGTCCGTCGGGGCAAATGGGATGCAACCCTGAGAACAGATGTAAACTAAGCTATATTGTGATGAAGACATATGTGGTCTGTCTAGCACAATGAACAGTTAGATTATTCATATTTTTTCTGCAAAGAAGGATGGAGGGAAACTCAGATTATCTTCATAAACGAGGTGCCTAAGGATTCACTAAGTGAGGGGGGAAACCGCTGGGACCCAAAAGGAGGCTGGATGAGGGGTGGTGGGAGCACCTCCTGGGTATGCGTGTAGTAGGCTCAGAGGACCCTTCTTTACTATCTCAGTTTTTACTTTCTGCTAGCCAATTAGTAAAATGTTATGCCTGTATGTTTTCAACCAGAGACATGGTAAATTTGATTATTGATTTAATTCTTATGTAAGATTTTTGAGAAAATATGTTCTTGCTATAGTTTTGTGACATGACAATCACCATGCATCTATGCAAATAGTAATTTTATTATTGTGATTTTAAATTGCAGTAAAACACACAAAACAAAACTTACCATCTTAACTATTTTTAAGCGCCCACTTCCATGGTATTAAGCATGTTCACACTGTTGTGCAACCATCTGTCTCCAGAATTCCTTTTATCTTGCAAAACTAAAACTGTCCCTATTAAACAACTCCCCATTACCCCTCCCCCCAGCCCCTGGCAAGCACCATTTTACTTTCTATCTATGAATTTGACTACTCTTGAGTATATCATGTAAGTGGAATCATCCGGTTTTTGTCCTTTTGTGACTGGCTTATTTCACTTAGCATAATGTACTCCAAGTTCATCCGTGTTATAGCGTGTCAGAATTAACTTTTTAAGGCTGAATAATATTTTACATATATACGTGTATGTGTATATACATATATACTTATATGTATATATACGTATATGTACATATATACATATGTATGTGTGTATATATATATGTGTATGTATATATATGTGTGTGTGTGTGTGTGTGTGTGTGTGTGTGTGTGTGTGTATTACATTTTGTTTATCCAGTCATCTGTCAGTGGGTACCTAGGTGGCTTCCATCTTTTTGGCTGTTGTGAATAATACTGCCGTGAACATGGGTGTATAAATGTCTCTTTGAGACCCAGCTTTCAGTTATTTTGAGTATATACCCAGAAGTGGAATTGTTGGATCATATAGTAATTCTGTTTTTAATTTTTTGAGGAACCCCTATACAAGTTT